ATGGGGGGGATTGAGGAGGGGGGGAGGGTAAGGCCATAGGTCTGTCTGTCCGTGGGTACGTCCAGGGAGCTCACAATGAAGGGTGTGGGGGGGGGGGGGAGTCTGTTCTTTTTGCCACCATCATTCACTATCGGTGGGAAATGAGATCCTCAGGTGAGGGCACAGATGATGATGATGGGTTTTTTTTTTGGTTTTGGTTTTATCTTTTCCTCTTTAAAATGGGATGCATTGGGTTTTTGTTTTTTTTTCCTTACTAATTTCGCATTCGTTGTCTCTTCCCTGTGGTTAAATGAGGTTTGGAGGGGTGGGGGTGGGAGGGGGGGAAGAGGGGCTCAACACAACAAGAGAAAGCTCGGCCGGGCCGGGATGGGGACAGGGATGGGACGGGGGGGTGCCCCAGGCCGGTGCCCATTGGGGGTACAGTCGGCATCGGGGTTGGGGAGGGGTCTGGCGGCATTTTCTTTTAACTGCTGCTCTCCTCTTCTGTTTTATTGAGCTTCTTCAGCGTGTCCAGCAGCTTCTGTGGGGTGAGGATGTGCGTGGACCCTGTGGGGCAGAAGGGGCCAAGGGGTCAGCGCTGTTGTTGTATTTTCCCCACCCCCCCCTCCCCCATCCCCCCCAGCTCCACGCCCTGCTCCCCATGGGGTCCCTGGTCCAGTCCCATGCCAAGCGAGGTCTTACCTGGAAATGCTTGCAGAGAGATGGACACCCATGGGGGCTTGGAATGGGGAAAGGGAGGGAGTGGGAGGGATGAGGGGATGGATGGAGTTGGAGGGTGGTGGGATGGGGGGAGGGATGATGAAGACCCTCCTGTCCTCTGCCCGCATGCAGTAGATCCTACTGAGTGCCACCACAGGCACTGGGGGGGGACACTGCACTGCAAGGGGGGGCTCAGCGGGATGAGCATCCCTGGGTTAAGAGAGGTTGGAAAAGAGGAGAGGGGTGGGGAGATGCTGCCTGCTGCAGCCCCACTCCTTCACGGCTGCCCCCCCGGTCCCTTCCCTGGGTGTCCCCATGTTCCCACTTTGCCTGGGGGCTGCACAATGCTGGGACGTGGAGCAGGACCTGACTGGCAGCCCCATGGACGAGATGTCACCGTCCCCATATACCCCGCTGGGGACCACACACGGTCCCAGCTCCATCACAGGGCGCAAAGAATCCAACAAACCCATCATTTCCTGCAGAACCAAGAACCCATCTCTCCCTGAGCACGAGGACACCGCTCCGCACCTCCCCGAGTGGGGGGAGCCCATCTGCACTATGGGGAGCGCATGGCATGGAGGGGCTGCGGGGCCAGGCATGGCAGCGGTGAGAACTGCAAGCATTTTCTCATCCAAAAATCAAAATCATCAAAAGGAAAAAGCAAAAAAAAAAAACCCAAATCATAACGAAAGAACGGAAGAATCAAAGAAAGCCCTTCAGGGAGGAAGAGTTTCTTTTCTCGTTAGTTGGCTGCCTTTACTTGGTTGCTTGGGCTCACTCCATTGCTGGAGCCTGATCCTCAAATGAGACCCTAGTGGAGTCCCTGAAGTCGGGGTGCCTCAGGTCCATGAGAAATTTGGTGGGAGTGAGAATGTGAGTAGAACCTGCGGGAGAACAGAGTGGGCTGACGGCCCGGCCGTGCCCCAGGGGCAGCAGCATGCACCGGGCCGGGGGGCTCAGGTGTGGGTTCTGTTTTTGGGGTGCAGACAAGGGATGTGCTGCCTGCCCAGAGCACGCGGGGTCGGTCGCGGAGCGGTGTGGGATGAGATGGGTGAGATGTGGAAGGGGTTGGCACATGGATGGGGGCAACGAGGGGCTGCCCCTGCCTGGCCTGGGTCTGCCCTGCTCCCCTTTGGGACCTGGGGGGCTGCCCCTACCCACGGTCCTGCTGTGCTATGGTGCTGGATGCCTGAGCCATGGCTGCACCCACAGGCAGAGGGTGCTGGGAGGGCACTGTACGTGCACTGCACATCCTGCATGCCCCACTGCTTGTGCAGCACGTCTCATTGCACACACGCTGCACGCCCTGCTGTACATGTGGTAGGTGCTGTGTTGCACAGGTGTGCACAGCCTGCTGCACATAGTGCTGCCCGACTGCACACACAGCACACACCGTGGTTGGTGCGCCAGCTTGTACAGCCATTTCTCCTTGCAACAACCCCCACGACGTCCACACAACAGCTCTTGCAACAGGAGGCTGCAAAACGCCCTCTTCCTCCACCAGCTCTGCCCGTGCTTCAGGCAACAAAACTCATCAGGGAGATATAAAGGGGGCAAAGAGAGGGGCAGCATGGGGGGGGGGGGGGGGGTGCCAGCAGCAGGACCCCCCCTGCCCTGCTCACGTGGTCACCTGGAGGCCGATGCTGCAGGGTGAGAGTGGGATGAGCAGCAGGGAGTTGGGCAGGGCCCCCACTCACCTATTAGCACCTCCCACTTGCCGCTGGCTTGCGTCACCTCATAGGCGCAGCGCATCTCGTTCATGCTCACCCCCCCCAGGATGAAGATGATGAGGCGGGGGCCGCTGCGGTACTCGCCGGGGGCCTTGTTCTTGTGCCAGTGGCCGTAGCGAGCACTAGAGATGGAGAGAGGGGTTAGGAAAGGAAACCGAGGCACGGGAAGCTCGTGTATAGGGGGTGATGTGTCACAGCCCCCCTGCTCATGGAGGATGGCACCAGGGGGACCCACCTGACAGCCGTGGTGCTGAAGGAGGCAGAGGAGCGGGTGGAGATGTACGGGTAGTGCTTGGTGTCCAGCTTGTCCTCGATGGCATCCTGCAGGGATACGGCCACGTAGGGCTCAGCCAAGTGTCCCCATCCCCAGACCTTGGTGGCCCTACCCCCAAGCCCCTGCAGCACTGATACTAAGCAGGCAAAGCCCCATTGGTGCAGTGGGGCTGGGTTCAGCTCTGATCTGGGAGCGAGCTTTGGGAGGGTGGGGGGGAGCTGGGCACAAAACGAGGTGAGTGCATTTGTGTAGTTTAAGGACTATTAAAGCTGGGGCAAGCAGGGGCTAGGCTGCAATGACGTCCCACCAAAATATGGCCCTGGGGTTGGTCTGTCTGTTGGTGTGAGCAGGTGGGAGATGCTCACATCATTGGAGCTCAGGCTCGGTGCCTGCAGAGCCCCAGCCGAGCCCCATGAGGACACTTTGATCCAAGAGGTACCCAAGGGGATGCAGCAAGGATGAAGTAGAGGCAATCCATGCTTCGGCCATCCCAGTAGGTTGGGGCTTTGCATCGTGGGGTTGCATAGGAGCTGTGCCAGCACTGTGCAAGCCCAGCTGGGGCTGTGCAATGTACATGTAGGACCAGGAACACTTTCACAAACATCCCCACCTTGCTGCAATCACAACAGAACTGCAAGTACCGGCACTGCAGGGCACGTGCTGGGGATATGTGCCGGGATCTGGGCTGGTCCCCAGTGCACCCCCAATCACCATCTCACCTCCATGATGTCCTTAATGACAGGGGTCCACCGGGACAGCTGGTAAGTCTGCTCGCTGATCCGCTCCTTCCGCTCCGGCTTGCTCCGGCGCCGCAGGGTGGACTGAGGACGGAGGGGATGGGGACACAGTGAGACACAGGGTCACTCCATGGGGATGTGTGCAGAGCTGGGGGGTGGACACTCACGTCTGTGATGATGGGCACCCCGAGGTGGGCCATGTTGGTGATGATCTCGCTGTCCTCAGCCGGGATCTGGGCGTGCTGGATCAGCTTGTTCAGGTTCTCCTCGGTGATACCTGCATGAGAAACGGGTGAGCACCATCTCCCTGGGACACCCACCTCGGTGGCCATTACATTTGGCTCCTCTTTGCCCCCTTCCTGCACACCCCCTCTCACCATTCTTCAGAAAAATGTAGAGCAGGATGATGCGGATCTTGTCATAGGTGCTGACGTTCCCATCCAGCAGGATGGGAACAATGGCCCTCATGGGATCTTTGATCTTCTCGCCTTCAGCATCGGTGCCCATGGCCAGGTCCTGCAGAGCACAAGCCCATCACCGAGGCTGACATGTGGCACTGAGTTGCAGTCCCCATGGGGTGCAGGGAGGTGGCAGGGGGACAGTACCTGTTCCACTCGGCACAGCTTGTCCACCGTGCCCTGGTAGTGCTTCATGCAGTCCTCAGCCAGGTGCAGGTGAGTGGAGTACTGCAGAGACACCAGTGGTGTGGGCATCCTCATAGGGAAGCCCCTTAAAGCCACCTCTGGTGCTGCTCAGCACCAATAGCTCCACCAGGACCCTTCCCTTGGCGTTACCTTGCTGAGCTCCTTCTGGTACTGTGGCATCTTCTTCAGCATCTGGGACAGGTCCCTCATGGTGGTCTGCGAGGGAAGGGAACGTGGTCACTCATCCAAGGTGGCACCAAGGAGGGCGGGCATGATCCTACCAAGCAGCCCCTTTTTTGGGGGGTCTTGTTCTCACGCTGGGGGGGGTCACTGTTCCCTATTTACTCAGCTCCCCCTCTAGCCTTCCCCCCAAAAAGGACCCATGGCCCCAGCAGGCTTTGCCACAGCCCTTAATGGTGTCCCCAAGAGCCTTGGCCATGCACGAGCTCCCACTGGGAGATGTCACCTTATCGCCTGTGTTCATCCTCTTGCTTGATGAGAACTCCTTCAGGGACCGGGTCACTTCCCTGGGAACAAGAGGAGGACACAGCCATGAACACAGAGGGAATCAACCCACAGGGCTGGGTGCTGTGGGGCAGCCCACAGGGACACTCACTGGGACACCTCGGCGATGTGCTTGTGGCGCAGGGAGACCCAGAGGTCATCATCCTCATCCAGGAGAACCTCCTTCACCCGCGCCTCCCCGATGCCACTTGTCTCATATCTGGGAAGGGGAACAAGGCACGGTGGGTCAGGGGGGCAAGGAGAGACATGGGGACATGCGAGGCACGGGGTGACACAGGACAGAGTGACATGGAAGGATCATAGAGGGACCACAGAAGGACGTGGGAGAACACGGAGGGACCATGGAAGGACCATGGAAGGACACAAGGGACCATGTAAGGAGGGACTAGAGGGGGCATGGGGTGACATAGGATAGGGCAGCATGGAGGGATCATGGAGGGACATGGGGGGGATACAGGGTGATGCAGGGAAAACATGAAGGGATACGGGGGGGGATATGGAGGGACCACAAGGGACACAGAGGCCACTCAGTTCTGCCAACAGCTGGGTGACACTCCTTCAGCTTGGTGTCACATCTTGCCACCTTCCACTCGCTTAAAGACTGGGAAAGGGCAATGGGCTGAAGGTGGTCAAAGCTGCCCACGTCAGGAGGGCTGCCAGCACCCAGCTCCCCACCAGTGGCACTCACTCACTTGTAGACATCGTTCTCGATGGGCAGCAAGTCATAGCTCATAGCCTGAAAGGTCAGCTCGTGCAGCACTGGGGAAGCGGGGTCGAAGCCACGATCCAGGATGAGGAGCTGGGAGCGAGCCTTGTCCGGACCCTACAGAGCCACCAGCAGGGCCATCAGCAGGTGTTGGAGTCCCCAGTGCCATCCTGAGCTGATGTACAGCAGTGTGATGCCACCCCATCCCCAACCTCACTCACCTCACCCATAGTGGGGTCATCAGCTTTGTAGGCATCCAGCTTGTCCTGGATGAGCTGCGCCAGCATGGCGTTGTCCTTGTAGTCCCTAGGGAAGGAGGAAGGGACATCAGCCCCTGGCTGTGCAAAGGGTGGGCAGGAGTTGCTGTGATGTTCTTGGCTCAGGGGAGAAATGGGACCGGAGCACCATTTGCTGCTCCTTTTCACCTCTCCTCAGGGAACATGATGCTCTGCTTTCCTTTGGTCTGTCCCACAGGAGACACCCCCTGGATTCCAGGTTCTGGAACCCCAGCTCTGCAGAGCATCCCCTGGCTTTAAGTCTTCCTCCTGCCAACCCTGCAGCCTTACCCACGGTACCGCACGGCTGGGTACTCCTTCAGTGTGGCACACAGAGTGGCAATCTGCTCCGCGAGCCTCTCCAGGATGGGGTTCTTCATCTGCGCCTTGTGAGGACTGTAGAAGCTTTGGAAGGAGTCTGCTGAATCCAGGGAGTAAACCTGGGGAGGGCAGCAGGGGGTGGTCAGAAGGGAGAGGCAGTAGGGACATCCTCGTGGGCTGGGACAGCATACACCAACCCAAACAGATGTGGGGTTCCACCCCAAACCGGAGAGCTGAGGGGTCCAAATTCAGCAATGTTTGGGGTGTCCTGACCCCCTGCCCTTCTCCTGCTCTTGGACTGCCAAGAAGCCCATCTCCCACTCAACCTCACCGTGATCTTCCCTGGAACCCGATGCCATCTGTCCCTCCCTGTCCCCCTTGTCCCCACAGCACTCGGTGCCCTTGGCAGTGCAGTGCCAGGAGGCAGCACGGCTGCTAAATCCCCACAGTGGATCAGCCCTGAGACGTAATCAAAAGAGACAGAGTGTAGGGAACAGCGCCAGGATGGGGATCGTGGTGCCTTCACAGCTCTTACAGAGACACTGATGGGGGGGAGAACTCAAGCATCCCCCTCCAGGTCACGTGCAGGGGACATCCCCAGCCCTCACCCACCTGGGACTCAGAGGGCAGGAAGGCAATGTTGATCTCGGTCAGGGTCTTGATGACCTTGGCAGCACGGGACTTCACCAGCTCATTGAACAGGGCATCGGGGCAGGCTGCAGGGAGCAGGGGAAAGCAGTGCTCAGGACAAGGTGGTGGTCAGGCTCCCACGGTCCTGCCCTGCCCCAAGCATCCCTCCTACCCTGCTTTCTTGTGCACGTTTCAGTGGCAGCATCGTCCCCTTTTCTTGGTCTGCGCAATGCATTTGCAATGGAGGGATGTGATGCCCTGCCCTTGGGAGCAGGGAGCCCAAAGCCCACTTTTGGTATGAAGAAACCTGACCCCCTTCTCCCCTTCTACCTGCCTTCAGTGCCCTGTGGGTACTCACAGTCAGTGAAGAAGACATGGGCTGCTCTGTACTTGGAGGTGGGGGGGTCCTTGAAGTCACTGATGAGGGAGTGGACAGACTGCAAAAAAGAAGGGAGCGTCGGGGCTGGGCAGGACAGCCCTACGTCCAGCCCCACAGGGAACCCTGCAACCTGTGCCACAGCCCCAAAACATCCCATGGGCACCACTGCCCATCCCAGTGTGGCCACCCACCCCTCTGCCCCAGCTCACCTTCTCAGAGGGTGTGATAAGATAGACAGCCTCCAGGCTGGGCAGCGGCTCCCGGCGCTTGTTGATGTCCTCCACAACTGGGGGGAGGTGGGGAGGGGAGGGGGGGGCAAAAAAAAGGGTACATGAGCACATCCCACTGCAGTAGAGCCTGTGAGTGTCCAACGCATCCCCTGCCCTCTGCAACCCGTCGCTGCCCCATAGAATTAAGAAGCAGTCCTGGGAGGAGCAGTGGGTTTGTCTGTGCGACAGACATTGTGTGAGATGGAGAGGGGTGGCTGCATCCCCCCCACAGCGAGAGATGCACGGTGCTGGTACTCACTTGTGATGCCCTCCGTCATGATGTCGGTCATTTTGCAGCAGGAGGACAGCATGCGCATGCTGAGCTGGTCCACCACCAGCACCTGGGGACAGCAGCCATCAGGTAGGGATGGGGCAGCAGGGAACCACCCCACCTGCTCCCACTCCTTCCCAGCTCTATCCTTCCAACCCTCCTTCTCCTGCAGCCTTGCTCACCTTCCATTCTCCCTTCTTCTTCACCTTCCGGATCACATCGTGCATAATTTCTGCAAGAGGAAAAGATGGGTTGGGCTGAGCACCCTGAGCCCACCCGCAGCACCCTGGGATGCTCCATTCCCTGGCGATGTGTGGTGGGGGTGTTTTGGAGGCCGGGGTGGGGGGGATCACCCCCAGCACACACACATGGTACTCAAGGGCTCAGAGGGGAGCACTGAGCAGAGCCCAAAAGAGGATGGGAAGGGGATGGGAGGGGTCCCTTTGGGCCACCCACACGCCACAGCCCTAATCCAAAGCACCAGGACAACAACAGCAGCTTAAGGGCTCCTTTTAGAAACAAGAATCAAGCGGCCTCAACCTGCTCCTTGTAATCCCCCACAATCCCATTTTGCATCCCAGCCCTGCACGCTTACACAACCAGCTGGGGGCCGTCCCCGTGCTGTCACCACAGGGCCACCCGAGGTGCCAGGGCTGCTCCAATGGGATGGGGATGTCACCTTTGGGGCGGGTGTTGATGGGTCACCGAGGTGTGCAACAACCCGAGCCTATAGAGCTGTGCCCAGTGGTCCCCTTTCCCCAGGCTGCTAGCCCCTACAGAACAGGGATGTGCCACCAAACCACACGGCCAGGCTCGCATCCATCAGCTTCGCCGTCACATCCTCTGCTCAGCGCCGTCCTCCTGCAGGGCTCTGCTGATCCCCGGTCCCCAGGGGAGGGATGGGTGCCAGCAGGAACCAAGTTCGGTGATGGACATTTCCGGATCCTGCTGAGGACCTTGCTCTCTCCTCATTACTCATGTTTGGCTCCTTCCCCTGAGCGAGGATCCAGGAATAACAGTGCTGTTTACCAGCACGTCCCACACCCTGCAGCCAGCGCCCCGGCAACCCTGACTGGGGGAGGGAGCGTGGGGCAGGAATCCCAGCCCTGAGAGTGCAGCCATGTTTGCTGCAGGGCAGGGAGGAAGGAAGGAGGCTGGGACAGCATCCTGCATGCAGCCATGGGCCATGGGGAAGGGATGCTCCCATGTCAGCAGGTTGGAGGCTGCAGGGTGTCCTCATCAGCCGGTGATGCTCACAGCCAAGGCTTTTTGTCTTGGAGATAAACCAGGCTCCAGGGGAAAAATACATCTGCAGATCTGATCCGGTGCCTTCAGTGCTTGGCTTGTCTGAACCTACCACAGTGCATCTGCTTCCTTCAGGGTAGAAGGATTTTAATCACAACTTCAGCTGAGAATAGATCTCACAGACAGCTCTGGGTCTATCTTTCAACACAGAGAAGACACCAACACCTCCGGAGAAGGGAGTGCATCCCACCTGCAAATGGACCTCTGTGCAGCACGCTGAGCAATAGACCCAGAAGTGCTATCCTGGGAAGAAAGCAGGCTCCATCTCACTCAGTAGGGCTCCTTCTTGGGGTGACAGTTGGCAGGAAAGTGACCCCTGGCATCGTCTTCATGCAGAGCCAGGAGCTGGTGACACGGTGGCCTAATAGGACTGCAGCCCATCCGTCACTCCAAGAAGCTTAGCCTGGGCTGCTGGCACTGAAGTGGCCCCACATCTCCAGTTGGGCATGGGGGGAATGGCTTGAGCCCACCACAGCTTGTGGACACAGATTCATTTTGAGGTGTCCAATTAGCCTGCTTCAGAAAGAGCCTGAGGCTTAACGAGCAGTCCCAGTCCCATGTCTAATGACAAAGTGGCCTTGCCCCATCCAGCACCCCAACCTGGAGCACCTCCTGGTGAGGGATGCTGCTCTGGAGAACATCTCATTTCTGCTTGAGCAGTGCATCCCATTTCTGCTTTACTCAGCACATCCCAAGACCTCATGTGTGGCACACGTTGGCCTTAATGGATGGCAAGGCCCCACAGGACAAGGACGGTCCTACAGGATAAGGACAGTCCTACCCATGGACTTTTCCCCTAGCAAGGCTCAGTCCTTCTATGCCCTCCATTTTGGGATCCAAACCCCGGAGCAGTCCTGGAGTGCTGAATCCCAGAAATCTGGGCTGGAACTGGGTGAGATTTGAGGTCACTCCCAACCCAATCCATTTTAGCACTCTGTGAAACGCGCGGTGAGGTTTGCTCCAAACCCACTTCTCTCCAAGAGCTGTCACGACGCATCTCTGAAACGAAACGTGTTTCCTTCGGGTTGGCCTGGCAACTGCTTTCTGCTGGTTCATTGACTGATTACTTAAGACAGGGTGAGCATTCCATAGACACAACAACGTCCAACGTAGTAGGCAGTGCATTGACCTCCTCATCCGGGCAGCTACAGGTGCCTGCGCCATCCCCCAAACACCCCTCAAGCAAACAGGCTCTGTGGATGGCAAGGAGGCCATCAGCCTTAGCCAGGGCATAGAAAATAACTTCATTTATGGGATGCAAAGCCTACCTGGCATCTCTCACCATAGCCAAAAGCCATCTTGACCTCAATGAGACGGCTGGAGGGTGTTGTGTTTACAAACCAACAGCTCCAAGTGGTCTTTGCTGCTCCCATAGTGGGCTCCCAATGGGCTGCATGGAGCCCACGCAGCAATGCGCCTTCAGCTGCTCTATTTTTGCTCTCTCTGAGCTCTCTCCTGCATGGCGAGTTGGTGGACACAGCATCTGCTCCTCAGCGTGCAGCCAGAGCCACGTGATGATGACTCTCTTTGCAAATGCTCAGGGATGATCTCGGAGGTCTTTTCCAACCTTAATAATTCCACAATCCCGTGATTCCTCTCAGGACATTTTTTAAGATGGAAAGGCTTCATGTTAGTGCCTTTCTCAGCCTCGTTTCACACGCACACACCAGTGGTTGGGTGCAGATCTGCTGAAGTGAGTATGGTATGTTCCATGGAGAAGCATGGATGAATATTTCCATGCCAGGGTGCAGACCATGCTCCATGCCGTTTGTGGTTGTGGAAGCCACGCAGCCAATGCTGCAGGCAAGGATGGATCCCAAGAGGACAGATGCTGAGGCCTCAGAGGAGGCTTGGCTTCAGTGCCTGCTCCAACCACAAGGATGGGGCACAGAGGTCCCCCCCCCTGCCCACCTAGTTGCAGAGCACACCAGGAAGGGCTGGAGGCAACATCCCCATTCTGGTCCTGAACTCTTCATCATCTTCTGCTTGGCTACAGGGCAACATAAGTGTTTTGTTGTGCCCCAGAGCATCCTCAGCAGGCAGCACTGTGCCTCTGGCATCCCCCTGCGCCTTAGCAAAGGCAATGGTGCCCCACGCAGCCTGGCTGAGTCACGCTCCAACCACGCGCACCCCGGGGCCTGGCCGTGCCCTGCAGACAGCAGTGTGCCCAGGGAGGTGCCACGCTGTGTGCTGTCTGGGTTAGGGAAGGGGACGTGGCACTGTGGGTCTGGAGGTGCAGCCTGACACGAGGATGCTCCACGGGGATCCGGCTGCTGTCCTGAGGGCAGGAGAGTCCAGGAGGGCTGTGCTTCCACCAGCCTTGGAGAGAAAAGGATGGCTCCAGGGATGCCTCTCTCCTCCCGCAGGCGAAGGTGCTTCTGGGCTTTCAGAACACAGTGCAGCCCATTGCTGCTGGAGACAGCTCGGTGCAGTGAGCCCACCCTCCTCCTCCTCACGGCTGCAGGAGTGCAGGCACTGAGCCTGGCACCACCTCCTGCAGGATTTTTCCTGTCTGCACTGCCTTCCCAATAGCACTCCCCAGGAGCAGCAGCTCGCCAGGACCTGGCAAGGTGTAGGGACAGCCCTGCAGCAATGCGGGGTGACAAGCAGGGGGGCAAAGGGTGACAACTAGGGGACATGGGGCACCTGTGGCAGCTGTCCTCTTGCTGCCAGCTCCCAGCTCAGGGCCCTTCGGTGCACTGTGGCAGCAGCTGCTCAGGGGAATAATCCCATCCTGGAGGGCTGCCAGGGCAGAACGCAGAGCTGGAGGTGGGGCCGTGGCAGTGCGCAGCATCCTTGCCTCCTGCCCTCCTCCAAGGAACCCCCAGAGAGATGCTGCCCTCGGGTCAGCTGCAGGGCAAGGGCTGGGACCTCCACCCTCAGGAAACATCTCTTCCTCCTCCTCCATTGGGGAATCCATGCCCAAGGGATGCAGGGCTGCAGCAGTGAGTGAATCCCTGCAGCAGTGGGGAGCAGCTCCAGCACCCCAAGGTGGGAGCCGATCACCACAGCCCTCAGAACCCTGGAATCCTATACAGAGGGTGGGGAGCTCTGCAGGGTTTGCAGTCCTCCATCCTATGCAGCATTCTGCTGGCACCTCCCGGACACCCCACGGTAGGGCTGTTACTGAACCCCATTTCTCCATCAGTAGGGGTGTTTTTGGGGAGGAACGGGTGGGTTCGTTACAACTGCAGAAGGAAGGACTGAGAGATGTGCACACACACACACACACACACACACAGACACTTCCCCCTCCCCTTCCCCACCAGCACACTGACAACGAATGGAAGTGAAGGGACACGCAGTGCCCCTGCTTCAGCTGGGGGGGGCATCCAGCCCCACTGAGCTGCACTGGGGGTCCCCTTTACCCCCTCAAAGCCAACCTTGCAACACAGCAGCCTGGAAGTGGGGTGGGGAGGTTGGATGTAGGAGGTTGGATGTAGGAGGACACATCTCCCTGCATTTGTCCCTGCAGCCCCAATGATGCAGCTGCGGGAGCACAGCAGGGCAGCACACCCCGCGCCCCCCCCCCAGTCACCAATCACACCACCAGCTCCGGCCGCGCCATCCGCACCGCTGCGGGAGGGGTCGGCCGCCTCCGCAGCCATCTCTCAGCCTCGGGGATTGCTCCCGTTTTCCCACCCCCCCTTCCCTCTCCTTTTCACGGTAATAAACACCGACCATTTCCCCCCCCCTCCCCTTCAAAGCACACCCGGTTGGCGGCGGTGCTACGGCAATAAAACCAACAAGACGGGCGGCCATGGCCGGGGGGGGGGGGGGGGG